ATTCCGACTCTCCAGGAGCACTTTGTTGATGCCCAGGACCAGACGCCTCTTCCGATCTGGCGACCTGAGGCTTTCTTCAAGTACCCTGACGGTGGTGACCTTAAGGAAGAGGAGATTCTCCGTTTATTGGAGCTCTTCAGATCGTGCCTTCTTGGTAAGAGAGCAATCCTCGGTGTTGCCAAGCGCACTAAGGAGAACATCCATGAATTTCAGAAGGACACGTATCAGCTTGGCATTTTGACGTTGAACCTTGGTCACATCAACCGTCTTCCGTATATCGGAGGCTGTTCAAAATTTCCAAAATGGGTCCGAACTGATATCAACCACCGTGCCTTGCCACATTTAGTGTTCCGTAATGCGGCCCATATTGTGTGCTTGTGCGAGGCCTCCGACGAATACGGAGGAATTGCCGTCCATCGAGAACTTGCCGATGAGTATGGGATGATCGGCATGGTAGTACACCCGCACATTCAGTCACAATCCGTTGCAATTTTTCTCCGTGGCTCACATGATGCAGGCTCATTTATTGAACTTTTATGTCAACACCAAATTGAAATAGCCAATAAAGATGCACCTTTCTGGATTTTGCATGGCGCCATTTTTCGCCTTTGCCATGGCATGAATACGTCAGGAGAATTTGTTGATCCTTCTTCAGGCGCTCGTGTTCCGAAACCGGACATTGAGAAAAATGCCGAATCTACGGTTTACCAGCATGATCGCCCACTTGCATCCTCACTCGATTTTCTTGATCACTCGATCTGCGAGATCGACGGAGATGATGACCTTGCCGTCTCCGGAGTGGAAGCTTGTGAAGTGAATCTTGGTGCTGACACCCATGACGTCCGACGTCTCATGTTAGCTGAATGCCGTGTAGCGGTTTTTCATATTTCTTCATATGCATGGAGTTGTGCTTATAAAGAAACGTGCCAAAAATGGCTTCAATTTGTTGCAAGCTGTGTCGAGCACCAGTGTGACTTTTTGTCCGGTGACGGCAACCTTTTCGCACAGCGAAGTTTTAAGGCTGATGACCATTCCGATTTCCGGACGTGCATCATGATCGACATTCTGGAACGCTTTCTCCAGCAGATCAATCTTCACCGCAGTCCGATCAACCGTATTACGTATAACGTAGTTTCATCGACCACTGCCGCTGATTACATCCGAAGCATGCGTGGAGATGATGCTGATTGTGATTCAATGCTTTTAATTTCTCTTTGTTACGGTAAGCAGGTCGCTGTCACGGAAGCACGTGCAAAAGAAGAATCCGCTTCTGCAGATAGATTTGCAGGATCAGCTTTTTCCGACGAAGTTATGCTGAACGATGTTGAACAGTTAAAACATTTGATGGCATATGACCTTGGTTTGGCAGAAAAGGACTGTGCATGGCACTCACCTCTCCTTGCCTATGCCCAATTAAAGGCATTGAAAAATATGCGCATCCGATCCAAGGAATCTGAAGATAAAAGACGTGAAAAATGGATGCAGAAAACTCAAGGATATCTCGACAAACGAGAAGAAAGGAGAGACAGTGTTCCGCCTTTGCGGACTGATTCACACCGAAATGTTGGACGCGCTCGAAGTCGATCGGTCAGCAGGACCAGAACCTATCGACCCAGAACTGAACCACCAGCACCGCCTCCGGCACCTGCTCGAGGTCCAGCAGAGAAAGCTAAACCAGTACAATATAAAGCAGCACCGAGGTCCTTAAAAGAACCATCAGCACCGACGTCATCAGGATCTTCCTCAAGTGCTCGGCCACCTGTAAAGGCTCCTCCAGTTCCGGCTTCCGGACGAACATTAGGTTCACAACAGCCAAGAACGCCACCTGATCCGCCAGATCCACCGAAGACTCCACCGCCGTGGAGAGAGAGATCGCAGCAGGCCGAACAGAGGCAAACAACCAGAAAAACGCCAATCAACGTGCCTGAGCCTCCTGCGCCTCCATCCCGCATGTCGGGTTCGCAATGGCAATGGCTTGACCAAGGAACAGCTTCCAGCTCTTCCGGGTACCGTAATTACGGTTACAACTATGATCAGCCGTCGTACTATAGAGTGAATCCTAATACCACTAATGTAGAATACGTCCCAGGGTACCAAGTACCCAGACAGCGTTGGGTTCAGAAATACGACGGATCATGGCTTGACATGATTCCGCAAACACCGGATCAGTCCATTTTCTTTCATCAGACCGGTGAACTCCGAAGGAGAAACGAATTGAATTTTTACGGTTACTATTTCACTATGGGCTTGTAGCCCCAAAAATAGCAATGTTCCGCATTTGCGGTCGCTTGCCAACAGCCGAGACCACCGCTTTCCAACAGCGGAGAGTAGCTTTTTGTACAGTTTTGTTTTTGTCTTCGGACCGTCTCACAGCAGATCACAGGCTGAGCGCTACCTGTGAAACAGAGTTGCATGTTCCGACACGAAGAAAATTTGTGTCTGTTTGTGATTTCTTTTTGTATACGTGTCTACACAATGCTGTCATGCATATTGACATGTACACTTAATTCATATCTTTCATGCGCACTCCGCATGGCTCAAGACTAGCAGCAATTCCGCAGCATAGAAAAGTGTCCGCCGCTCACTGCTTGACACAGGTGTTTAGGATAGTGTTCCAGGGCTCCCTTAAAGGGGAAAGCTACCTCAGGGGGGGCGGGGGCCCCCCCCCCTTAAGTCTCCGTTCGTGACTCTCGGGTCTCAATTTCCGGGAAAGGAGCAGCCACCTCCCCCAGTACTAAACTAGCACTAAAGTACATAGAACTCAGGTAGCCTAGGCTACCTTTCGTGATCAAAGGAACATGGCAGAAGATTTGGTGAGAATTAAACTCGTCGACTTCCTGAATCCATTGTGAAGGTCACCCATGCTGCCATAACCCATTGTCTAATGGTCGAGCTTCCCAGCAACCAAAAAACATCGGGATTTTTCTTAGTACATCCCCAGTCTTTGCGGGTTGTCTCCCAAGTAGTAGCAAACTGTTTCTGTCGTTCCGTATGAGCATAATTGGCTTTTACTTCACAGCGCTGTTTCTGTTGTTCACTCTCCTTACTCTCTGCATAGCAGAATGCAACCACCAACTACTATAGTAAAGTGGCTCTGAATCTACTGTCTTATTGTTTCTATTGATCCTGTATAGATTCATCTCAACATCCATGTTGCTGGGAAATCCCTGCTAGCCAGTCAAGAAAACATGCATGAGGCTCAGGATTCAGCAACACCAGGATTTTCCACCGGCAAATGCCCACAGCCGCTGCCATCCTTTACCGTCCATCACCCGACAACATTCCGACAATTGGTTACCTTTTTCATTGGTTTTCTCATGAAAGAAGGCTAATCAGTGGAATATTTTAGGATCGCCCAGTTTCAGAAACTCTCGATATTAAACATTGTCAGCCAGTCGAACCGAATGTTAAACACTATTCGCTATTCACCCCGCTTCGCGTGGGGTGGCCGCCCACACCGCAGGTTTATTTCGGTCCGTGAAAGGGGCTAAGGGTGGTTTTCCCCCGTGGGGGCTCCCCAAGCTAAGAATTTTCACTTTCCCCCCCCGTGGGGGCTCCCCAAGCTAGGGAATTTTCACTTTTCCCCCTCCCCAAGCTAGGGAATTTTCACTTTTCCCCTTCGTGGGGGCTCCCCAAGCTAGGGAATTTTAACTTTTCCCCCCCGTGGGGGCTCCTCAAGCTAGGGAATTTTCACTTTTCCCCCCCGTGGGGGCTCCCCAAGCTAGGGAATTTTCACTTTTCCCCCCCGTGGGGGCTTCCCAAGCTAGGGAATTTTCACTGTTCCCCGCCGTGACAGCTTCCCAAGCTATGGAATTTTCACTTTTCCCTCCCTTGGAGGCTCTCCAAGCTGCGGAATTTCAAATAGCTAGACAACGACGCCTAGATAGTCCCCCAAATCCCGTGTTCTTTGAATGTGTTTCCATGTTTTTGCAATGGTTTCCTTCAAAGCACGGTACTTTACACTTTTGTCGCCATAAAACCGGTCGAAAACATCATGTTCGACAATGCTTCCAATTCCCTTATCTCCCCAACCGTTGAAAATACCGCTATTTACAGTGTTTTCTTCAATTTTTCCATGTTCCAATGCCGGTAGCCAAGTCCAACATATATATAAGAAATCCTTGCAAAACATTGTGTTTGACAGTGTTTTTCCAATGTTTCCAGTCAAACAGACGGTAATTTACACGTTTTTTGCCATAAAGGCAGTAAATCCTTCCAAAACATTGCTTTTGACAGTGTTTTTGTAATGTTTCCAGTCAAGCATACGGTAATTTACACGTTTTTTGCTATAACGTCAGTCCAAAACACTTGTTTTTGCAGTGTTTTCAATGCTCTGGCATCCAAAAACCCTGCAAAATCTTGCTATGTACAATGTTTTTTTCATTTTTGGCCGTTTTTCCATTGCCGGAAAGCTACCAAAATGACCCAAAATTCCATTTCAATACCCTCTTGGGCTCAGACACCCAAAAATCCTCGAAAAATGTCGAAAACACCACCGAATTCTGGTCTCGGTGCGAAACCGTTTTTGGGGTCTGGTCTCGGTGCGAAACCGTTTTTGGCCCCCCCCCCCCAGCTAAAGCTGATATAGCGACTGCTATATTAACAAATGTCAGTGAGCATTTAGTGTTGCTGTTGCCCCCCAATAAGCACGCCTTCACCGCCAAAGCGGTGTGGGCGGATTTACTCATTCCAAACCCGCTATTAACCCAGTATTCACCCATGTTAACCATATCTTAGCATGAATGAAGCAGCTAACATAGATGTGGAAAACAAATGGTTTCCCAATCGGAAAATTGTCTCCATTGATGGTGGCTTCCCGACATCTACGGCCAGACAATATATACTGGAAACCACCAGACAGTTAAACAGTTAGACATCTGTGGTTAAAAACAACAATGCACAGTAGAAACATATTATTGAAATCTCCAGCCAGTTAACCAACAGTTAACGATTGATCATAACTTCAGGAGCCTTCCATAAACTTCCACGTTTCCTGGTTTCTACACCAGCCAGTTGACCATCATAACTTCAGGAGCCTCCTCCACATCTGCCTTTCCCCTCTCCGGCGCCTCCTGAAAGCTTTGTGCCTGTGCCTTCTCTGACGCCTCCGACGCGTCCGCGGTGACCGTAACTCTTTGCTTCTCGGCCTGGCCAGGGATTCAAAATGATTTAAAGATGCTTGAGACATAGGTAAATATAGTAATTACATATTGTATACTTCGATTGAAGTGTAATTGGTAACTATGTGCATTTATATGATATTATATGAATTATATGATATTATGTAAAGTATTATATAGTATGATACACAATATATAGTATACTTCAAGTTTGGACTTTGGATACCCTTTGATCTGGATGCGTGGTTAAAAAAACAAACGAGGATGGTAACCAGCCAGAATCCCTGGGCGTCCGAAGCTTTGGGAAAAACTTGGGATTTGACTCGCAACGGGCGTGGCATCGAATCAATGGGGGTTTAACTGGATCATGTTAGGAGAAATGGGAATGCTGCGACAAAAACATGGTGGATCATGGGGAATCTGACATATCCCGACGAACATGCTCTACCACCTGGTAAGACCCCATCAAGAAGTACAACAGGTGAGTGTTCAATAACACGAGATAATGCGAGATACTATGATATTCAAAGCTGCCATTTCATCGTCCTTTTGGGCAAAAACTACATATTATATGACGGCTTTGGTTTTGGTGTACCTTATCAGAAACGCTTCCCGTCTGAAGCGGTTGGCCTCTCCTTTTTCCATAGGAAAACCGACATTCCATCAGTGCAGAGAAAGTATCACAATTTTCTCGACATGTGGTTTGGGATTGACACAAAGTCACAAATTCATGTACCAAGACCCTCCGAGTACCCATAAAAATGGTGTTTGCCCTATGGTTTAAATCAAATCGTTTTACAAGATGCAATTTGAAACCCAAGAACTGACATGTCCAATAGGCAAACCGCCTTTCACAGCCAATTTTGCAAGGCTCTACAGTCTTCAGGAGGGTATTTCCTATAAAATCGAAAGGAAAAAAGTGCTTGATGGTTGTATCCTATTGAAAATGTATCATAATCCCAAGAAACATATGCCAACCATGCAGTGTGGCAATCCCCGAATTTCCTCGATCTTCTACTCTTCAAATCACCTATGGTCATCAAAGAAATCCACCCTCTCTGTCCTGCGCTCGAGTCTGCTCTAAGGCCTGGCTTCACGGGAGAAATCTGGAAACACTGGGTAGTACCGGGTAGTATGGTACTAAGAAAGGAATTGTTAGATATAGGTCTATCATGGTCGATCTACAGATTTCCATAGAACAGATTTTATCTGATTTGATGGTATCTACAGGTCTGGGAAAAATTGATGGTCAGCCGCTGAGAGAAATCAAACCATCAAAATTGTTTCTCAGTGGGAGGGTGCTTGTTTATTGGGAATGTTACTGGAATTGGAACTTTTCCCCAAACATGTTTTTAGATCGGAATTGTGCTTCTTATTGTGACATCTTTCGGAGTGCCGGGATGATAGCTGGTGATGCACCTTTTTTAGGCAATGTCCATAATTGGGCTCAATGGTTAATGGTGGCTAATGTGGTGGTCAACATGGGTGAAGCGTGGGAAAAAGTGATTCCTATGGTGGGTGGTGAATGGTGGTCAATAGTTTATATTAGCAATACGGCACCGCATGCATACTTAGCTAAGCTGGTTCATGAACCAGGTTAAGTATGGTTTACGGAGATATACCGAACTATTTAATGGGGCTTTTGAACTAGTAGACGCAACTGTCGGGGCACCACTGACTTTGTAGTAATATTGGATTACCATCTGGTAATCAAATATGGCAATGGAAAATACTCGATTTATCTTCCAATTCAACCATCATTTAATGGAGGTGTTTCAACTGCCACGTTTGATTGCTGGAGGTGTTTTTGTTAGGTTAATGCGCGATGTGGGCCAATATGGGTTAATGGTGGTCAAGGATGGTTATGGTGGGTTAATAATGTGAAATCTAGTGGTTTACAATGGTTAGTAGTGTTTCAAACCATGGTTAATTTAGGTTAGCGTTTTTTTGTTTATGGCTCGCAATATCTGATGGTTTTTGGTTATGTTAATGAGGTTAATACTTTATCCAGAACAAAATGCTATAATTTAGAGTTTCTCCGTTTTGTTTGTGGTTAGATAAGCGTTCGTAGTGGTAGCTATCCCGAAAGGGCAGCATTTTCAGGTTTGTGAATTGTTGTAGTTTTTTCTGAGGATGGTCAATATGGTTTGATGTGGCTTGATTGTGGGTAGCAATGGGCTAACCAAATAATCAGGTTAATAGCTGTCTATGAAAGCATCTTCTCTGAATAATATCTCCCCAGAAGAATTGCTCATGATCATTTTCATTCCATTTTCGGATTTTCAATAAAGTAAAGCATACAGCTATTGGGGTACCTCCATGGCGGGGGAAACCCCCAAATATGGTTTATTTAGGGCAAATGTTAGCGAACGCGATGATAAACTATGGAATTTTGAAGATTTGTGATGGAATAAAACATGCCTTTTGGGATGCTTCTCCCTACTAACCATCTATAGTGATATTACATGATATTACAAGCCATGAACTCTAAACCTTCACCGCCCCCCCAGCCTGGAGCCGTTGCCGGGATGCGATGGGCTCTGTGTTCTTGTCTTCCCCCGGCTCGCGCGCCACCACTTTGTACCTGGGGAAACGACGGGATCTGATGGAGAACACACACATATATATATATATATATACACTATACATGATAGAACGTCTAGAAAACTTTGAATATAAATATGTAGTTGTGACGTTTTTGTTCAAAATATGCTGAATATGTTTAAATGATTTTGACTGTGTATCTACATGTATGTATATATTTGTCCATATATGTTCACATTGTATAATATATTGGTTTAAAAAGGTTCAATGGGATTTTGGTTTGGAAGTGGCACCAGAGATGAACAAATTGATATAGGGAACCTCCATATTTGAGGTGGATATTCTTGATATTCTTGTGACATAATGCAAGTGGGAGATATACCTTTTGTCATGACCCCAGCCATGTGCAATAGTCGCAGGGAAACTATAATGATAATTTTGGAACACCGTACTTTCCGACGAAGCCACTTGAGTTTTCAAGAAAACGTTTAGTATCGTGCGGGTCAAATTTGGGGCAAGAGAAACATTCAAACAATGACATCTAAGCATTTGCTAGACCTGGGGCCGTTTCTTACTGTATCTTAATGATTTGTTTCGCTAGTTTCCAAAATCAAACATCATTTATCGACGCTGTTTACTCTAATTTACCTACCAATTCTTAAATCGACGAATCCCTCTAATGATCAACTAACCAGCGAGAAAGGGAGCAAGTAGGGATCCTTTGTAGGGCGGAAACTCTGAACCCACAACAACTAGCCGACTAGCCGTTTTGTTTGTGGGCAGTTGGCAAGAGTATGCCATGTTAGCATCGGCCATCTTTCAAGGTTTCAGAGCCCCCAGGGCCCAATAAAGTTTCGGAGAAACTCTGGAACTGAGGGCAGGACCATCCAGTGCCTTCATCCTTATGTGGTGGATCCGGCCTTCCCAGGGGAACTGATGTGTTCAGACAGCTTGGAGCCGCAGCTTTTGAAACGTCACATGGTTCTGTCCGGAAATCATACATCCGTGGTCATGAAATAATGAGAATACTCTATGTCTAGACATGTCCGCATCTATGTTGTTCGATCCTTGCTTCGGCTTCATTTGCAACTCGCCAAGACATGATATGCTCCGGGGCCCTGACACACCCTCTGCTCGAACGAACGCAAGGAGCACCAACCTGGGTCTACCGCAATCAGAACAGGAAGCATCACAAATCCATATTAATGATACCCTCCGGTGTCATGAAACACGCCACTTGGAAATACACTGTAAAATGGAGGTTTCTAGATGGGAAAATCATCTACATATGGTGGATCTTCCAGCAAAACATGGTTGACTGCCAGAGGGTAGTTCAGCACCTGTCATCAGCTGCGATTGGAATTTCAACTGTACATGCAACATATCCCAATTGATTCCCTCCCTTTTTCCCAGGCCTGATGACGTTAGAATTACAGTAAAATCAACCCTGGATTAAAAAACCCGATAGATTAAAATTGGGAGGGAGGTTTAACCCTAAAGTACCAATAAATTACTGCTATAATTGGTCCCCGCCAATCAGTGTACATACGGGTGGCTTATTCATTCTGGAATTACCATGTCCACAACATCAAAGATGCCATGCCAACGGTGACTTCACAGTAGGTATGGCCCTGGCAAATGTTTCTTACACGTCTCGAGGTGTTTGTCCTCGAAGTAGCCCAATCTTTCCCAAGCTAAGAACCTTGGAGCGGCTGGCTGGTGTGGTTGTAGTGGTACTGTATATTGTTCTACAAGCTTTGCGAGAAAAATCGGGCCAAGCCGTCATCGTCATGTTGAATGCAATAAAGATTTGGTGATTTAAAAAACCAATCAAAAAGCGTTTCAAAAGCCAAAAAGATCATCCAGGATTTCCCTCATCCGAATCAACGTGCCTTTGTCTCAAACTTCACCGCTCCCAATTTCGCTGGTTTATTATCATGTGTACCATTGAAAATTACCATAAGTCGGGAGTAAATCACCAATTTCTTGAAAACATAAGATCTACAAACGTCCACCTGGGCGGGCATGTTTCGCCAAACGGTCTTGCTGAGGACAAGGCAGGTTTGCCAGGAATTGGCTGCCCCGCACTCGACCAAGTTGCCATCTGCCGAGTTCGCCGAGTTTAGCCATCAATTTCAAGGGAAATCTGTGAATGCTGCAAGATTTCGCCTTAAACTTAAAGGAATTCCAGGTAAAAATGAGTTCGGGGATTCGAGGCCAAGCATGTGGAAGCTTAGAAACGGGGGATCTGGGGATGGTTTTGTACAATTCATGTTAGAGTTGATGCACGCATTTTGTAAATGGATGCACGCATTTTCCTTTCGGTTGATCGGTGATTTTTCTCTCGACATTCCCTTCGCTTCAATCACCACACGCGCCACTCTAGGCTGATATGCCCAGCAAAATAATTTTAATACATTTTTGTCACCTTCCATCCTCAGCTTTCCCAGCATTTACCTGCTTGGAGCAACAAAACTGTTGGGGTAGTGTATGCCACCAAACAGTTACAGCAAGTACTACCATTTGGTAATCAGCCACATGGCGGGCCCTCTGAGAAATTCACGAACCAATCTCATTAAATGAACTGGAAAAACACGGAATTTATTAAATGGAACGTTTTCCAGCAAATCAAAGCTGATAACCGGGAAAAAAAACCGGATGTGGCCCCTTCCACTTGCCCAGGGGCTCCGGATTTTGCCTGCTCAGCAGGATATTGTACAAACTCGGCCCCAGGGCTCGCTCGATGGCCGTAATGGCTCCTGTCAAGTCTGAATGATCCATGTTGTTTGGTGCCAGTTACCAACCCAACCAAACAAATGTGAAACTATGTGAATCAGTGAGCCTGGTGGATCAAAACATCAAACGCCTGCCCCCTTCACATTAAACACCACCAGAAACCATGGTGGATGTAGGGAATAAAACACGCATACTTGGAAGCGCAGAGGGTTGTGGATATGAAAAGGGGATGGGCCTAATGGGAGTTGAACGGCTTTTAAATTATGTTTATATCAATTTCATTCAATTTCTACATTCTCTTGGAGGAACATGCAAAAATCATCAAGAATTCCTTTCTATAAACTAACAAATCAAAACAGCAAATGCAACCCTTATCCCAATGGATGGAAATGGTGTATACCCCAAATAACCGGCTTCCGGAGGCCTTGGCTCAAGCGTCTAGCGAGGTACACCGCCCGGTCGATGATGCAAGCCAGGGCCTATTTCGTTGGCGTACCAAGATGTGACTTGGATCGGCAGGCAGTTGGGTTAGATGTCGAGAGGTCTGTTGCCGAGACCTTGCCGAGAGGTCTTCTTGCAGAGATCTTGCACAGAGATCTCTGTTAGAGAGCTTGAGCAGAGATCTTGTAGAGAGATTTTTGACAGAGATCTTACCAAGGGATCTCTCCCGCAGAGACCTTGTGCAGATATCTTGCCAAGAGACCTCCTATAGAAGCCTGGTACAAAGATCTTGTACAGATATTTCTGCCAGAGGTCTTGTCAAGAGATGTTTTGTGGAGAGATTTTGCCGAGATATTGCTAGACCTCTTACAGAGATCTTGTACCGAGATCTTGTATAGAGATCTCCTACGGCGATCTTGCCACGGGACCTCTTATAGAGACGTTGTCGAGGGATCTTGTACAAGGATTTCATACAGAGATCTTGCCAAACGATATCCTTTAGAGACTATGTAGATCTTCTATAGAAATCTCTGACGCACAGATGTTGCCAAAAAACCTCTCTTGCAGACCCGATCCAGAGATCTCGCAAGAGAGATCTCTGACAGAGATTTACCAGATCTTGTACGCGATCTTTTACGGAGATCTTTACTAAGGGAATATGCAGAATCTTCCCTGGCATGTCTTCCTCATGTTCGCCATAAAGGGAAGTTGTGCTCGCCATTAGACAAGTCAGATTATGGTTGTGGCTCACCTTAGACCTGAGGTTGGCACTAAAGGCATGTTGGCAGGATAGGCCCCTCGTGGCACTGTCTGCTTGCTCCTTCGAACATGGTAGGAACATGGATGCAAGGTGCAAATCAACAAGGTGCCTGGGGGCCCCAAGGGGCAAAACATACATCCCCAAACATGTACGTCTTGCAGCAGAGACGCCTGCTCTTCGTGTGATTTTTCTACGGTGTATCCATTGTATCCGTCAATTTCACCACAAATGTCAGATTTTCAGCAAGATTGGAGTACAAGTTCAGTATGAATTCTAAGCCCTTTCCAGTGGAAACCAGCGCCCGTCCTCAGGACGGACTGCGAGACCTTATCGAAGACTTTCTTCACCTCCGAAGGAGTAGCCTCGGTGCCACTTGGGTCACGGTCATATTTTGTGACGATGAACTCCTGCTTCTTATCAGAGTATACTATGAGTATACCATTCACTCCCATGTTTTGACGCTCAAGTCTCGAATTCAGCCGAAATCCATAGCCGTTATAGCCATCTGTTCTAGTCGCACGCCCGCCTTGATGGCGAAGTGGGCAGCGGACCAGATGCATTCCATGGCCTGAGAAAAAATGACGAAATACAGGGAGCGTCCAGCCATGGCTATCCACAGAACAACCTGTTCACATCTGTTCGTCCCATCATGTCCCATCCTTCTCCGGATCGATCTCCATCTTCTGCATTTCGGAGCTTACCAACTGCTTCACCAAACACCTCAGGGCTTCTTTTCGCCGTTGGTCTTTCAACACCACCTGCGATGATCGGACGTGGTAGATGTAAAGCGCCAAGGGGCAAAGGGCATGAAGCCTCAGGTTGTTTCGAAAGAGGGCGGATCCATGTTCATTGGAATTCATCACCTGATTATACCTTCTGGAGGTGAGCACCGATTTCATCACAGTTTTTGGATCCCAAGGTTGAACTGGTAGCTGTCCTCAAACAAATGACTTGCCCAGAAACCGAAGTCACCTGATCAATAAAGCTCTCGATATCCACATGTGCTGCTTGTTTTGGAAACAATTCGCACCCGTCAACTGCAGTTGACGTCTCCCAAAAACTGGCTGACACCTGGGGTAAAACAAGAAAACAAGCAGCAAAAGGCAGTTCAAAATGTCCTGCGCTGATCCTCACCCCCCCAACCCCTCATGGGATCTCCGCCTGATCCTTTTCCACCGCAAACAAATCCTCATGATCTTCTACCAGTTGGCGGATCTTCTGTGTGGCCTGGGAATCGTTTCCAAAGCTGCCAGGAAAGACCATCGACGGCTGCAGCATTGCCTTTTTTTGGGGGCAGGATTTTTGAACATGTAGGCCCAAAGCATCACAAACCTGTTGGTTTTCGGGAGCGCCCTTTGAAAAGAGTTTCGGCTGACATGCGCAATGCTCAAAATCTTTGCGGTTCATGGCTGTTCTAACTAGCGGGCAATTAGAGGCTTGTCCTAACCGGTGAACGCCCCAATAGATGATTCATCCTTATCAGCTGGTGGAGAATAGTGAAACTGGAGGGAGTCACCTTAGGAGGGGGTTGAATCACCCCTCATAGGCCAAGCCCACTCTTCGAGGGCTATGCATGGGCTATGCTAACCTCAGCTGCAGGCGAGTTTGAAGTGTTTGCTAATGCGCCTTGGTTCGGCGACAAGCTGCAAGGACAAAACATGGAGCCGTTGGAGTATTCTCGTTGCGAATAATTCTACAGTGATCTCTCCAAAAAAAATGGAAAATCAATCATCACTGGAACAGCATGGTTGACTTTGGCATCTCTTGGGAACATCACAAAAGGATTTAGGCTACTTAGATTCCAAAATATTGTTGCTCATATCCAGAAAACATACTTTGACAAGTCTGAAACTCATCACATTGTGTGATGACTTAAGGCAGTCAAATATTGTTGGTCATATCAGTATCACTCAAAATAAATGCGTGATATAGAATGTGCATAGCATAGCATAGCATTATGGTTGGATTCCAGAAAGTCTGTCCTCCGCCGGCAATCGCAAATCTTAAACCTCCGCTGAGCGACTGGAAAGTTGCTCGGTCATCCTAAAGGCGGCTGGTGGGCAAAAGATGGGGCCAGGGATGGACATCTACTTGAAACCTTTGTCCAAACTCCTTTTTCTTGTAGAAAACGGTCGGCACAAACCCACCAAGTCTAGTGATTTTAATCAGTTATATAATTATGTATATATATATAAGTTCTAAATCCGTGTTTCTGTTACCAAGGGTTCATGGAAATATCAATGTTCTTGCAAGAAAAGAAATGGTGCCATTCCCGAGCTCCCGATTTGCCGCCACCTCCTGTTGTCGCAAGAAATCGGCCACTTCTTCGGCTGATCGCTCCACCTGTCGGGTGAAGCTCATGACATGTCTGGAGTTCTTCAAAACGTTGGCAATTCAGTAGTTGGCCTATGAAGAGATGCTAAATTTGGCAATGAGGTCAAGTTTTAGCTACTGATTTAATTGCCCAGCTATAGATGTTAGTTATTCTCCATGATTTTCCAAAGCTATGTTAGATTAGCCTCCAGTAAACTAACACAGCTTTGGACAAATCATGGAAAATCGCCATCTAGTATGTAATCTATCTCTAAATGGGCAGCTGTTCATAGCTGTGTCAGTTTACTAGAGGTTAAAACGAATAAACCAACCATTTTACGGAGATGCACTGAGAATTGAGATGATTTTCTGAGGATGTAATAAATCGGGATGATGATGCAACCAATGTCGGGTTTGTCTAAAGACAAGGATTCATGGCCAAGCACCGTTTTGGGGACAATGTTGATAAACCCTCGGATGGAATGGGGTACCCTATTTGAGACAAAGCCATCTGTATCTTAATCCTATCACTTCACAAAGTATGCTTTATGGTACGGCAAGATATTTTGCTTCCGTTCAATGAAGGCAAAAACAAAGCGATTCATCCGCAAACATTTCTTTTCAGATGTTGAGATTTCCGTTCCCAGTTCCCACTTGTGCATGTCTGGTTTGCCTCAGCGATGGATCGCCCCCCATCCCAACCGTGCTTCATATAGACCTTTTAAGTACACCATGTTGTATGATATCAAATGTGTACGTATATATATATAATATTGAATTATTTATATCTATTTGGGATATCATACACTATGAGCTATTGACATTTATCAACCATACGAGGTATCAAATTATCAAAGCACATTTAGTTAGCAGCTAGCAAACTTCCGAGTTACAGACGGATGGTCTGGGTAAGTCTTCACACCATCATCTCAACTACATCATGTCAACCACATCATCAAGGAGTTGGGAGGTGAAGCAGTAAAGATCATACTCCAAGAGCGTGTGAGTTTGCTGGTGAGACCATGGAAGTAGCTGCGAGAAGAGGTATCGCACGGAGCTCAGTGAAGAGTAGGGAGACTTGGCTTAGGGAATGGGTAGGTCAATGCAGAGGTAGCTCATACTCTCCTTCGTTCATTAATGTATTCATCCAATCATTGGGTCACACTCCCAGTGATTCACTCACTCATTGGTTCAAAAACTCATTGCTTCATTGAGTTTATGCATCAATTCACTGACTACTCATTCGTTCATTTGTTCGCTCGTTCATTCATTCATTTGTTCGTTTGCTCGTTCGTTCATGCATTCATTCATTCCTTCAACCATTTGTTCATTCATTCACTCGTTCATTGATTCACTCAGACATGTTCTTTTTTCATGTCATTGGTTGCATGTCATTTGATTGGCATCTCAAAAACCATTTCCTCATTTGCTCATGCACCCCGCAACCTCAACTTTTCATTGCTTCTAAATCTCACAAACATTCCTACAGGCCACTTCCGACCACGGCCAGGCACTATCTGGCATCAATCATATCAGCATTTCATGGGGTATGAGCATCCATTGCCTGGTTCAACATTCATTGGGCGTCAACATGCGTCAACATATATTTGTTGAACCTTCATATAATGTTCATCCCCCATGAACTGCTGATACCAAGGACTTGGGAACTTGGGAACTGCTCATCTTTCAACATCCCTAACATCCCCCCCAAAAATCCCTGTGCCTCGATATGTCGTGCCACCAGTCTTCTAGGAGCCTGCGCCGCAACGAGATGCAACGAGCAAGACACAGTGGTGGTTATCAAATGTTATCAATGGGTGTCAATTAGCGTTGCTAACTGTAAATCTATGATCTGTTAATCAATAACTTTCAGAATCTACACATCGAATATGGCCAATTTTAATTTTGGATCAACAATGAATCTAAACCGTCTAAACCAAGTGGAAAAGCCATCAGCTTGACTGGGGACATTGCGCTTTCGATAAGGGATTTTTCCAACCATGATGATAATGAGATAATATATACTTGAGACGCAAGCAACAGTATGGGGATATATGGGGATGTACAGGCAAGCGCCCCCACAACCGGGGACATGACTCCCAATGTATAGCAAATACAATAATAGGGATAAGTATGTTCTAACCTCTTGGACTCTTGGTGTCATTTTCAGACGAACCCACGTGTTCAAGCAAGGTCGGAGAGCTAATGAAGCCAAGTTGGCGATGTATAAGAACTCTGTACCTTAGAAAACATTTGAAAATAGCTGGCAAAATGGATGCTCATCTCCTCAAATATGGTATGCTTGATTTGACCAATTCATGTAACAGCATTGTTCACAACTTGCAGAAAAACCCAAACAAAAAAATCACTAATTGCACCATCCGGTGCAATATTTCTAGAGGTTCAGCCATCAACGTATTTGACATAAAGGGATTTGAGGTCCCACACATTTCCACCCAAGTGACTTACCTTAGATACTGCCCCGAAAGTTGTCAACCCCTTTGTGAATCAAACCAAGTTTTCTCCAAAGCTAACTCGGATGGACCAGAACTATATGATCATATATCATAAATGTGACATCCATTTGGTTTTTCCCGCATTTTCCTGCCCAAATTCCCCATTTTCACATCGCAACGCTACAGCGTTCTTCGTTCCGCCAGCTTCCGTCACGGACACGGCCCCACTGAGGAGTTACGACCGTCACGGAACCGGAAACCGACAGAGGCCAGGCCCAGTGAATTCGGTGTCAGTTGAGCTGTCTGACTGTCTGCCATGATCTCTGGGCTGTATATTGAAACCTATGGAAAATATGGGAATCCATTGAGAATTGTGGAAGCCTATTGAAAATACATCAAGCAACCGATTTCAACGGATTTTCTAAGTGCCAGAAATATTGGGGAACATTATTGTTGCAGTATTCCATGGAAAACAACGGGGATGTTACGGCCGTCACATGTGGAGATCTAACTTAGCAAGAATCCTCTGACAGCTTGTAATAGATACTTGGCAGTTTCTGATTTATACAAATCTAGGCATCTACTTATGAGTACGTATTGCTATAATGAATAAAAATGTATCTCTAGTTGTACTATAATTATGAGATATTATGAGGATCTAGTCTAGTTGTATTATAATAAATACACACACACATATATATATATATATATCTTATAATCCATGATGATCTTGAAGACGATCAATGAAGCTGTGCCGAAGACATCCGTTGGCCCCACTGAGCCTGACTGATCCGCGCATGGCACAGTGCAACGGCCGGATCCCCAAAGGTTCGGCCATCGCTAGGGATCTGTCGGGGAAATTGCAAAAGACGCCGCCCGTTCAAACCTGGATTTCCAGGGTTTCAGTTGGTGATTCGAAAATATCTTAAATAAACTTTATTTTGATCATGTTTGGTCTGTAGATTTTGGGCATATGCGTTTAATCATTTGAAAGAAATATTGAAACATATTGGTCAGTTCCAATAGCTATTCATCAATTTTCACCCTGGAAAAACTTGGGTTTTCACCAAAGACCAGCAACTTTGAGTCGCCCCAGCAGTCTCACATCACTGAAAAACCACTTCAGGACTGGAACGAAGCACAAAGCACCAAGCAGTGACGTCCCCATTTTGCAAGATTCCTCATTAAGGTCCAAGCAACCAATAACAAAGCCATGGAGGTCATCATGGTCATCCAGTCCACTTGGATCGTGAAAATCCATGAAAATCCAGGTTGCAGGTGCGTTTGCATCAGGGTCGGCGTATTTCTTGGCCATCTTTGTAACTTGGATCTTGTGGTCTTCAAAGACATCAACTAAAACGAACATTTTTTGCTGATTTTCATCTTCATCAAGAACCCTGCTGCGGTAAAGTGGATTGGGCAATTTTTCTCTTCAAAATCAACTTTAGGCCGCCCCTGAGCACTTCGGCTCTGGCAAAACGAATTGTCCGCGCGGGCATTGGATCTACACCATGCAGCCGAAAAGGTTCAACGAAAACGCTGGAAACCATGTGGATGTTTTCATCTCTGCAAATTCGGATATCCTGTTAACCTGAAATGTTCGCTGGTTTTGCAACCGCTTCCGCTACGACCAACCATTTGCAGAGAGGGCGCAGAAAGGGCTATTGAAACAGTTTACCCGAAATGCATTTCAGTGAAATAGTTTCAGATCCTGAAGATATTGGTAAAGTGGAATGTGGCTTACTTTGGTCTGAACCTGCAGGCCCTTCCCTTGTACTGGACGATTTACTTGGCCTTTTCTCTGAAGCGATTTGAATGAACTTAGATCTGTACATTGCTTGGGTTTGGAGTGCTTTACCTGATTTTGTATGTGACGGATGATATTTTCAGGCTGCACAGTGTAGAAAACTGATGCAGCCAGCTACAACAGATCAGTGCCATTCCAAGCCACTATCCACAGTGTCATAGGACACTGCCAGCTTCAAAATGCCACCATGCCAGCAGTTCTGATATCATCGTCTTTGAAGGTCACAAGTGCTGAACTGAACTACTCAAAAATGTTGCAATGGTCTCTCCAACATTCAAAATGAACCAAGTGACATATGAAGGTTCAAGTTGTCAGTTCCAATATCTTCCAATGCTACACTTTGTAGCAAAAATAGAAAATCATCAAATTGCACTCCGGCACTTCAGATTCCAAGAATTCTTTAAAAAGAATCTCGGGCGCGAAAAACAAGGGTCCCCGGTCCTCACCACGGGCAGCCAAAAGATGGGAAGGAACACAAAGGAGGGGAACTCGGATCGCCTGAGCCCACGATGTTGGGGGTATTCTACCCCCATGAATTTCTTTGGGCGCCCTAGTACTCACACATCCCAAAAATCGCCGAAAGTCTGTTCATTGGTCCAGTCAGCGATACTTTCGTTCAACAATTTTCATCCTATGGAGCTATCTTTACATCCTTCTGCCTTGAATTGCTAATCGGCATTCCCCGCCCGCGATTTATGGCTCAAGAACTGAACATTGATACCCCTTTTTCCTGGCAGGCAAAGCATCATTGTTTGTGGTTCTCCTGCCAATTGAATGATGAACACCATGATTTTCCATTTATTCCTGATTCAAATATGTTCAAATCTCACGTGTCTGAAGCATCAAACCACCCTCCCGTAATCAAACATGGCAATCCAAAATCCTCTCAATAGATAAATGCGATCCAAGTCATAGCTGGATGATTCTTCCCCCAGTCATATAGAGGGTTCTTGAGATAAGGGTACCCCTAGATCAGCCATTTTCATGGGATCCATCATAAACCATCCGGCTGTTGTGGTATATACCGTATTTTAACCCCATTTATGGAAACCTCATGAAACCTCCATATGGTAGTAGGTAACCCCAGGTAACTTGACTCATCCCCATCCTCCACCGAGGCACCATCACCAGAAGAGAGGCGCCTCCTTGCGAAGGCCGCACCTTGGAGATCCTGGACGATGCGTTTTCGCAAGAAACTATGGTGGTTAAATAGTGGACATATTGGATGATAGTAATGGGTTATGGGATATGACAATAAAAATCTTTAATCGGCTATGAACATATTGGGATATGATTGCCAGAATCAAATTGGAAATAATATCAATTCGGTGAACCGTATTCCCTTAAATACTCCAGACAGATTTCAACTTCCCACATAGTTTCTTAATACAATGTCATATAAAAAATGGTGTTATCGTGATGATCACATTGGGATATTCGCGGGATATTCATGGGATATTGAGGGATATGAATGGCAACAACAGAAATGAAGAATGGATTATCAATGGGATACTCATGGAGTATTATTCCGATATTGATGGAATGTTATAGTGAATACCAATGAGATATTGATCAGGTATGAATGGAATAGTGGTTAATACCATCCGGAAATCAGCTACATGACTTGCTGGAGAATCCTCGGTTTGGTTTGAAGGTGGTGCCCCGCAGTTTATCATAAGTTGGTTGACAGGCCAACCGATACTATAGGTATCCCTACCATAAATCCGGGTCAATCTGCTCATAAGCCAACTTAGCTGAGTATGGGGCACCACCTCCTACTGCTAGTAGACATATTTAGTGTTTCAAGTAGTAGTATATCTACTCTTAGCAACAATAACTAGAGTGTCTATAAATCCTTGCTGTGAGTTTGTTAGTCACAAAAATAAAGATATTGACATCTCTGGATATACTGACTACATGTGATCATTTGTTTTCATATACTGGATAGGCTATGGGCGTCTGGGTATGCATATATGTAACAAGACGCATTTTGTGAAAGTATTAACAGAAACTACCATGTGTGCATATATATATATAACAGTCAAAATCAAAGTATGGCTTCGCCTGAACAAATTAGGGTGGAGCTATGGGTATCCACAAACGGACGTCAAAAAAAGGGAAATCTGACGACTTCAACGGATTTATTCAAGGAATGTGCCTCAACATTTTTCCAAAATTCGAAAGAAGTTTGTCTTATTAAGAAAACGAGTATCTAGTGGGTTTCGGTATCACCAACCACAAAAGCATGTGAAACCAACGACATAATCAACCATGGGACCGCATGGGACTGTTGCCATCCAACCGGAAACACGGAGATCCGGACAAACAGAAGTGAAAGCTATTCCTATAATGCCAGCAAAGTTAAGTGTAAACCATTTCTGGCAAGACAATGAACCGCATTTGAAACAAAGGAACACTCTTTTACTCTCCACCATAACAATCCAACTATCCCACACAGAGTGACAACAGCTCTACTTCCACCATCGCACACGCAACAAAGTTGCATGAAGAATCATTAGTCAAGTTTGCAAACCATACGACTACGTCAAGTGCAGTATTCCCGGAGTCTCAAAAAGATCACAAAATCACCTGTTGACTCGTGATGGAAGTATGTCAGACGCATCTGAACAACAAACTGTCAATGAGACCGGGCGAGTACATGTATTTACATGGATTTACGACCTCACTAACAATCATTGGAGTAGTTTGATCAAACATGCGCAATCAATGACTCAGTCCTTTTGCCGTTCCAGCGGTGGTGGAAGGGCCGAACTCCACAATGAAACGCGCCAAATGTAAATCTTCCTGGGAGATCTCCGGACAAGGTATAACCAACAAACAATGGGACTGATAAAGGCAAAGAATATGGGAAATATTGTGTTCAACCACTCCAGGCGGCAAAATGAATATTGTGGACATATTCCCCAAAGATATTTCTCATTTGATGTTTTTGCCATTTTCACTGACAAATTCAGGCTTTCACATGCTTTCACCACATCAAACCTGGGTGGCAAACCGTGAGTCCAAATGACGCGTATCACGTCGACCTTGGACCTCAGTCAGAATAGGGTGGACCCAGCATGGTCCAGCTAAAGGCCTGAAATCGCCCTGTCTGGTTATTTTAACATAGCTGTGGTATAGATGGCCTATTCATTATAGATGAATTATGATGATTTATCCATTAAAAACAGTGATTTTCCGTGCGATAAATGACGAGAGGGTATAAGTTGGGGTTTGAAATTTTGTCACTATCAGAACCATGAAGTGGTAGCCTTCGGTTTGGGTTGGGGGGGTCCGGTCATATCCAGGTGGGTGGGGTCAACATTAATTTGATGCAACCTGGCAAGTGGAAGTGTCCTGTCTGAGTGTTGGTACACCTTTTGACCGGAAATCCGAAGTACAGGTATGAGGCTATCCATCCTCCAGACCCCAAAAAGTTTCTTCGCAGGACTTGCCAACGCGAAAAAAACAAACTCCGCATATAATGACCCTCTGGTGCACCCAACAAAATGAAATCAAACCATTCGTAGACTATTTATCCATTAAGAAGATTGTGATTCTCTGTTGCTACCTTGGATTGCAAGTCGCTTAACGCACTTCATTAGATCACCAAATGAAATGGCACAAATTACTATTTGAGACCACCCTTCAAAAACCAGCTGGATCTGTTGGAAGTTGAGAACCAAAACTTGCAATTTTCCAGAACAGAAGATGATCATAGATGATCATTGATCATCCAACATCGGAAATCATGGGGAAGTCCAAAGATTGCCAGAGCTATCCTCGGTCTCCTTTGTGACGGCTGGACATTTCCAAGTCACATCCGTCCACTGATCCTGTGGTCTGAGGAGATACATGGTCACATAGATTGGCCTCAGAGTCGCAATGAAGATTTTCCGAAATATATCATGAGGTATCAATGATTTTCAGATATTTTCAGAAATACGTTCAAGTCATGAAAAAAACATGCTTTGTCATGCGTAAGGTCCTTTTCAACCGACCCCAGAAGATGTTTCCTACTCCCCAGCTACTTCTGGAGTGTCACTCAAATGAGTTCGAGTGGTGCAGAGAGAATCTGAGAGATGGTCCGCTTTCAAAATCTGCAGTTTACATATGCTACACCTATACGTGCAAAGCGCGAAGATATCTGAAATATTTGCATGACTACTCGCATGAGTCACATCAACAAATCATAACAAATCCACGCCTACGCGCGCCAGTCCTTTGGAGCAAGAACCAGTGTTCCTTCTCTCAGCAAACAACACATCTCTTGCGGGTCAGCAAGAACCTCACTAATCTCACCACATTTTGAGGCGATGTTTCAAACCCATTTTGGACATATAGCCTGATATCAAAAATCTCACCCGTCCATTTTTATCATGTTTCACTTTTCGCAAAGCACAGGTTCCATGGCGTTTACGCCGCCCCTCAGTGGGTTTTACTCCCTCCCAAGCTTGGCCCCAGGACGGATGAGTTCCAATCTCATTGAGTTTCACCTCTGGAATGACGCCCCTAGCAGGCCTGGCTCTTGGTATAGGGCGCTCCTAGAATGGGATTGGGGAATTCGTGGTATGACTCTTCCAGTAATGGTCGCTAGTGTTGTGACTGGAACACAAAGTTAAGTTTGTCTGACGGTCTGCGGTCTGAAACTTTGAGGATGGGCTCCAACTCAATCCGACTCAGACAAAAGGATGATGTGCAAAAAAGCTGGACCCTTCTGCTTTAAGCCTTGGGATTCAGTCAAAATGGTCTCCAACTCAACCTTTTCACGCTGTTCAATACTATCATAAACTCGTCAAAAAATGTCAATAACCTCGTATAAATTGCTGCTAGTGGCAAGGTGTGCCAAGAACCGTTGCCAGTCTCCAGACCCCAGACCCATATGAAATTGTGAGTCCCAACAAGTCGTGGCAATGGGAAATCCCGTATAAATGAAAGTTTTAATGCGAAAATCATCTATTGATGGTGGATATTCCATTGCCATGTGATCAGCGGAGGGTGCACAACACTCAGCGGTTGACATCCTGAGATTCCAACACCCTCCAGCCGATGGCATCCACAAATTGGGCTATGCACCAAAAGCCTCGGGATCCCGGAAATGGAGGGATCGACTGAAAGCCACTGAAAGCTTCCATTTTCCCATGGCTTCCTCTCGAAATGTGCTCAAAACAACCAAATCATTGGAATTTTGAGAACTTAAAACAGCTGACTTGCGATGAATCAGGGTGTTTAAGATATTTAAGATTGCTATGTCCAAAACCTGTGGATCTCCGCGAATAAAGCCTCATCTTCTGACACGCCCAGTTGGGGCCCAAATCTCTAGCAAATCCCAAACACTCCATTCACTGCAAGCAGCAGTGGGTGACACTTCCTGAGACAAGTCATTTCTTATCTTTAAAATCTAGCTTCTCAAACCATCCAATATCAGCAATGTCTGCAATTTCCGATTGGCAACAAAAATATCCCAATTATCCATGGCATCCATGGTCAGTGCACTTCCCAATCCCTGGCATATCCTGGCAGATTCCTCGAAGTCTAGAGGCCAAAAGTGAAGGTTCGACCAGGCTTGAACTCCAGGCCATGAAGTGCCTGAAAGTTTCAGCCGTGGAGACGGACTGTGAAGATGCCGTTCTGAGTTCGGATATGTTTCCGAAGAAAGATTGATTGCTGTGGGAACTTCTGTTATAACTTTCTTAATCATCCTTGACATATCGCATCTGGAACCACACTTGAACTGCCGCATCTTTTGCGGAGGAGACTGTCTCCAAGCATAGATGAAAGGTCAAACAAATTATATAATGTCATCCCCACATGGCTAGGCTGTTTCTCATTGGGAGTGTACCATTTGAGTAGCAGCTAACATATGCTAACATCACAAACTCGCAGGGTTCCCCACCTTGAATGACCCTCAATCATCAACGAAATAAGGGGGAGGCCTCCTGCATCCCCTTTCTGTTCTGTGCTCGGATGATGCCGTAGGTGGAAAAATCTGGATCCTCAGAGCAGAGCATACAGGAAACTGTACCGGATCCAAAACCAAAATGAAGTAATCTTTGGAAGACAGTGACAGATACAGTGTATCTGGCAGTATGAGTTGGGAACAGTTATGTCACAGAGTCGGCATTGACGACTCTGCCACTTTTAACTTTTGATCATCAAGAGGGGCGATTGTAGTTCAAACTTAGTCTCGGGCCCGCAACAATCTACATTTCTTGCCACTTTCACTCCAACCATCTGAATCTAGCCCGAGATCTTGACCGCAAAGAGACAATTATTTTCAGAAGCCCAGTTGTGTGTCCCATATGATCCACATGACATCACATGACACTGAGCACGTCGCATCAAGCTTGGGTGCTTCCTCACCTTCCTCTGTAATGATCAGTTGATCCATGACCTGGGTCGGCTGGGTATCCATTGCCTTCCCCGCTGCACGCGTTGCGCGAGTCATTGAGGTCACGATCCAAAAATCAATAGAATTTGTCTCTACTGAAGGGTTGCAAGCAACTCCGACTATATATCTTGATTCCAGGTTGTTTGTCACATTCCGTTGCAACTGGTGCCGATTTTTGTTGCCAATTTTAGACCATTCCTTGGATATCATGTTAAGTATCGCTCATGAAGATAGAAAAAACCGATATGATTGGAGAACCAACGCTCACGGCCGTAAAGTGGGGTAACCCAGCCATCAAAAAGATTTTCTTAAGGGTATGCGCCAAAGAAACACTGAGATTCAACCCCAGTTTGTAGTTGAGGTCCTTTTTCCGGGCTTGTCAATCTTATCAATCACTTGCTTCCACTTACCAACTTTCTCTTCAAGCTTTTGCTTGTCTTTTTCATTAACCACTTCACGGGCCATTCCGCCGTCCTCCCCCAGCTCTGTGCCGCTTGGTTTCCAAACCCACAAGGGAAACGCGATGGTCGGACGTTCTGCTTCTCCTCGAACGGACCTAAAGGGGTCAACGACTCGACTAAAACCAGCGGCCGCGTGGGGGTGATTTTGGAGATTTCACCAACCATATCCACTCATCAAATAATTTGCAAGCATCAACTTATGCTGAAATCAACAATTATCCGATTTTACTACAAATAAAAGTGAGCAACCTGTATGTACATATACCGCGTGTGTATATGTCTATAAAGACAATCAGTTTTTCTCCTTAACCTTAAGTCGCAGGCGTTGAAACAACCCCTCCAGTAGGGATGAGGTGGTCAGAAGTTTTTCACAGCATCAAAGGGTCTGAATCTGCTTCAACTGACACAGTATGCTGTCCCCCAGGCCTAATTTACCATACTAATACCGCTAGTTTTATCGCCATCTGCGTTATCACCTCATGCCTGGACCCCAAAGGACGCAACGCTGACACCCTGGAACCTGCTGTTGGGTTGCAAAGCTTGGCGAATTCATCATGATCGTTTTAGGACAATGATTTTTCAATGTTCATGATAAACATCCACAAATCGGAATCATTCTGGTCATCATGAACATTGAAATTGACAAAGAAATTACCCCACCAGAAAATTAACGTAGATACGGAAAAACGAGCATTTGTAGCTGATTTTCTTTCCCGGAAACCATTCTCTTCCACTTCCATGGTGAATGTCCGCACGGCTAATCCCATCCCCATGCCTTCTTTCTCCAAATCAACAAATAAAATACTACACCATAGTTTCTAGGGCGGCATTTCATCTTTGGGGGGAAGCATTTACTTAATATGTCCTAATATTTTGGGATATTCAATCCCACTATATCCCTTTAAATGCTATGAATCATCTACGAGAACATCAGGGGGCAGAAAAAGATATGCCTTACAGCCTTTGAACTAACATGATCCACTGATCTGCCATATCCAGCTGCATTCATTATCCACGAACTACCGGAAAATCACCGTTTATAATAGCTAAAACCATCCATAACTGGGCTGAACCTATACCATGTTCAACGACCAGAGAGCAAATCCCTTTCAGCGAAGTACATTATCCATGATCCACATGGGATTTTCCAGATCGTTAGTTTACCAGGTCGATAGATCCGATAGTCTCTGGTTCCCACAGTTTCCCACTCCCGATCCTGGGCAAACCCCGACGCTGGATCCTCTCCGTGCGTTTGATACCTTGTGACGGCAGGGCGGTGATGCGGAAGGCGGTACAACTGGAATATCACTAGAATATAGTGGAAAATATGTATTTTATATAAGGATACAACATCATATAACTACATGACTGGATGATAAAGGTAATAATACAGGCATATACCTGAGACAAAAATGCGATATGACTGGCACATGAATAGAACACAGAGGTTAACGAAACTGGAATATAAGTGAAACAGCAAGAGCTCGGGATATCATTTTTTGGTTGCCCACCAAATATTCCTGTTGATGCTAGATATCTTGTTGTTGTTTGTATCTGATAGCACGATGAAATCACCACTATCATTGGGAACTGGAGGTATCAAATCAGAGATTAAATGTACGAAGTAAGACCTGGGCATTTGATAGCAGAGGCGACAGGATAGAACCAATTAAATCCATTTTATTGGGAGATAGCATGACGAAATCGGAACAAACAATGGTAAATGGAGATACTCGAGATGATATATAGCAACCAATGAACATATGGGGTTAACAAAACACTATGGGGAGACATGCAATCCATTTTAATCTATAATGATCCATGAGAATCATTGAACTAGAGCTATTTCACCAAAACGGGTATGGCATGGTATGACCATGCCAACCAAACAAGGGCTTTTGGCGAACCACAGATGCTTCAGGTTCGCACCATATCCTGGCTGGGTTGTACCAAGCATCTGGTAGCTGTTCTGAGGCTCCAACATATTGTCCGCTGATGCATGCCTGGAACGGGAAAGGAAGGTGGGCTACCGTCTACCGTTGTCAAAAAAAGCACCATCAAACATAGCTGGGAAATCCCCAGCCCAAGGTTTTTGGGAAAATTATGGCGGATTGTCAATTGCCATGTTGACACCAAAGGCTACTCCATTCTCATGAGAGCCTCAGAAGAGAAATCACAGAACTGGAAATGTAGCGTTCAACCTCGGCGTGCCGTCCCAGCTGACCTTGGAACCTTGGATTTTTCAAGCTGTGAAACATTGACAATATATACCTTATAAAACAATATCATGATATATCATGATTATAGTTATACCGTTATACCAGTTATACCTGTACCGGCTTAAAGGAAGTGGTCCCCAGGGTCATCAAAATTCCACTCATCCTCGTTGTATACAAAAGTATGAAGACATCCTAATGTTAAGTTCATATTAATAAGCAGCCCGAATTAATGAACACCCGCATTCCAAAAAATGTTTGGCACTACTACTTTGCGTTGCCCCGCCCTGATAATAAACATGTGCGACCCCCCGGATAAAACAACACCCTGCTCAGAAAGTCTAATGTTGTGGTATGTCAGGATATAAATGTTTCTCAATGGTATTGATTGTTTTTTCATGGTTGAGCAAGTAATGTTTTGAAGGGATGGACCATGCCCAATCTCACCATCTCACCCCATTGGGAAGGAGGTTGCCACTGAAAAGAGAAATCGACCCATTGGCAGGCAGGTTGGTCGCTTTTTTCATGTTTGACAAGCTCTAGTTTTTTGTACCTTCTAGGCCGGGTTGTTAATACGAACTTGTCATGGTTTCTGATCTTTATCAATGAGCTCGGCCCCTTGGCCCCCTTGGCCTTGGCCCAAAAAACCTCTCTTTTGGGCCACTGGCAGTTCCCACGTGGTAGTAGCGATCTTGCTCACATCCGAAGTAGACGCTATCTGCCGAGACCTGGCCCCGCAAAAGGCTGGTCATGTGGCTGGTCATGTTTTTGCCGTTTGGTCAATTGTGGGATTGACAATTTAGATTGATTTTGACTAGTTTCTACCAGAAATTGCTTTGTACAACGACGGCCAAAAAATGGGGGAAATGATGAGAATTTGATAATCCATTCAATTTGAGGAGTACTTATTCAATACTTTTCGTGGATATGAAAAACCTGAAAAAATCAGCTGTAGGTTCCATGGTGATGGTAGTTCTGAGTCCGGACTTCAGCTGAATCAACCACTCAAACGCCCGTGGGACGTCCTGAGATTAAACAGTTGGAAACAGCAAGAATCTGGTAGCGCAAAAAAACGAACACTTAACAAACACCAACTATTCCAGAAGTGGTAAAGATCGTGCCAGTATTCAAATTGTTCTTGGTCATTTCTTGCTGACTGGATCTTGTGATATTTAGCTCTTGGCGAATTAAAAAATGTCTCCAGCACGTACGCACAACACAGGCCTCAAAATATTCCAATCAATCGTGCCCTGTAGACAAACAACGCTTCAACAACACCCGGGATCATCCACCTTTTCACCACATGGAGGTTTCCTAAAATGGTTGTAACCCTAAAAATAGCACATGTTAATATGTTTTTCCTTTTACAAGCCGTCCGTTTGGGGGTACCCCCCATCTTGTTCACCATTTTTCAGCGTCTCTCAGATCCCAACGCAGTCACGGAATCGCAGCTGTAAACGCCACTCCCAGAGACGTTTCCTCCCAAGGGCATCATGGTTTCGCGCGAGCTTAAGATACACTGCACTGCAAGCACGTGATTTTCTCAAAAAGCGGGATCATGAGATATAATAATTAGCCATCAAACATGTCCACACGATAATTCATCCATCTACCTGTATATATAGCGATTATATAACCATAACCAATGCTCACCTAGCTGTATCTTGACAGATTGAAACCAAACGTGTCATTTCTGGAGCTTAGGACTCCACAAAAAACACCCCCCGGTCCTTTGATGAAGGTGTTCGGCCAATGGATACTTTCCACTTTGCATCCGGTCAGGCTCCTGTTGCATAAGGACATGGCACAAGCAGCTAGAAATGGTGGATTTCACCGAAAGTTGGATGCTGGAGAATGGGGATTTGATAAATAGAAATGAGCTGAGCAGCAACAGCAAAACAAAATCAACAAAGAAACTGCTGTAATCTCCCCCAAAAATTCCAAAACTGGGATGGCTCTGAGGTGCACACGTAGGTTGGCTTGTGAACACCTGAGGATCCCACCAGCTAAACACCCCGGGATCTTGCCATCCACACCTATTGTGACATCCAGACCTCCTTTCATAAAGCAATTAGTATCGACTAATAGATGTATATATATATATATATATTTACACATTGATATATCTAAGCCCATACATCTATCACTTGGTTTTATATAGATATCTACTATGATTGTATATATATGTAATGAACAGAATAATGTATAATCCCATACATCGAATACAATATGCATCCGTAAGATATATCTGTATATATAGTAAACTAGTCATATAGTACAATCATTTATCCGACAAGAATCCCCCATCATCTACCTGCATGAGATCGCTCAGCTGAGACACAAAACCAAGAGCCATGACAAATTCCGCTGTCAAACTCCACGGGCTCAACGTTGTCCGATCCTCGGGAAACCGAAGATTCCCCTGCTGTGATTCGGAGAACGAGGGTGCATTGAAGTGTGTGGGGAATATAGCTCACTTACCTGAAAATAGCTGAAATAAGGATATTCATGGATGATCTCCCTTACCAACCATCATTCCGGTGACGTCGCAGTGAAGTCGCTATAATTACAACAGATATGTAAAGCTCCAAACAGATAGACAAGTGATGTGTCATTATTTTTGTAGGGTTTTATGGTTCTATCTTCTGGGAACCACACATATTCATCAGATACAGTAGAATATGTTATATTATATATACACGATTCTATATGGGGCTGACCATTTGTATATTGATATACGACACAATATGTTCATGTATACATCAACGCTGCTCCTTGAACATGTATTTAGTGTCAGACTGCATCCCGGCGTGTGCCAAAACTTGGTTTGATTTTGTACCTTGGGGCCATGAAGTGTGCCACTTTTAGGCACATCTCAAACATGGGATAGATCCAAAGTTTAGGATCCAAGTCAATATCTTGAAAAATCTTCGAACAACGAATCTCAACCTGTTGGTTCAATCTCCCAATCTTTCTGCTGGTTCCCTCCATTCTTGCTGGTTCAATCAGTTGAATCCACCCCTGTTTTGTTGGAACTAAGAGTCGCAATAGTTTACTGCTGAGCTTGAGCACCTCCCAGCTGAGTGCCCCCACGTGATGAGACACCCGGAGGCCCGCAAGGAGAAGCATTGGTCAGCACCAGATGCGGCGATGTCGACTGAAGTGCGTAAGGTCGTTCTTTGTAGCCACAGCATGGTCGAAATTCATCCCCAAACATGGCATGTCACTGGGGATATCATGGGGTTATCAGGGGGGTATCATGGGGATATCGCCTTTCCTCACCTGGGTTTGGTGGTAATGGACTCAATACCAAGCAGCATGGGGATATCATGGGGGATAAAGCGAACTTGAGTGAAGATGTGGGACAGCCCCGAGCTAGCATCTCAATAGCAAAAATGGCGATAAAACAGTGGATTTTGTGGTACCGTATTTGCAAACACACCCATTTTGGTTTGTCTGAAAATTATGAGAGCACCTCAAACACCAAAATCTCATGATTGATCGTGATTTTCTCCATCTATATTATATTTCTAGACATGGCAGGCGGCAGCACTGGCCCAAAATCTCTAGCAGTCCATAAGCATGGCTTACTGAAAGCTGAATTTTCACCAAATTCCAGCCCAAAAAACCCGGCCTGGGTTAGCAGTTGCCGGAAATGGCCCCCATAGCTGGGTCCCAATCAAATCTGTTTTGATCCCCTACATTCACCATGGTTTCTGGGGGCGTCTAGCATTGGAGGGATGGGGTGTACTGCTCTCTGGTGAAAAAAAACAGAATGACCTCCTCTGTGATGGTGGGCAGTGACTTTTCGCGCGCCTGCGGCGATTGGATTGGTTCAGAACCAGCTACTTTGATGATCCCAACTGAAAGGTCCTGCAGGCCACTGATTTCTTGGCATTTTAGTTGTTTCAGAAAGAGTCTCCAGTGTCCATCAACGATAACATGATACCATCTACACATTCAATTTTTGTCACAATTTTCATGACTCATACTCATGACCACAACAACCCCAACAAACTTTCTTTTTCCCAACATAAAACCAGTATAATATACCGCGCAGTTTCTCCACAATGTCGGTTTGTCTGAAATATTGTACACTCAGTACACCCAATTCCAATGGGTTATCATCATTTTCCTCATTTAAATTGTGGGGGCATATGCCATTTGCGGACATACCCCACGTTTGTTGGCTATATTACTTTATATGGGCCATATGGGTTTGTCTGAAAATGAGGCACCCCTAACAAACACATGCTTTATCATCGAAGATGCATTTTGAAGGTATACCCCAGTTTTGAACAAATCCATATTCCATTCATCTGGCTGAATTACAATCATTCACTACTTGTAGCCTGAAAATGGCTGAAACTCGCGGCCATTTGAGCATGGTTCCCTGTATACCCTTGTCCTCATTGAGGCCTTGACATCACGACCTGAGGTCATGATCAAGTGTATCCAGACATATTTATCCATATCAATTCCATATCACATATTATTGGTGATTTCCATTGCATTTCCATTAGCATCCCATTAATGCTGGTAAAAAAACCCACGCTTTTCCGTCAGTTTCCGGTCTTTCAGGTCAACAGGTTCCACCCAGTTCCGCACCTCAGACTTGGTCATCCGTTGGAGGATGTACCACACGGCCCAAATGGCCAGGATGGCCGCCTATCGGCACGAAACGGGCTATCAGAACCCCTTCGGGGCTGCAGCAAACATGTGGAAATTCATGGGGGCTTACACGTTAAAAGGTGTGTACATGTATATCTATATCTATATATATATACATCATATGTTATACTGGAAAAACTAGGTCATCAGAAACTACAATAAAATTTGATATAGTAAAGTACAATATAACCTAATACAACATAAGAAAATCACAGATGATAAAACAAAATAAAAACAACATAGAATAATATCACATAATACAAATATAGTTTAACAATACAAAATAATACTATATGATACAATATAACAAAAGAACATGAAATATATAATATAAAATTGCTTAACAGAAGATACTGTAATATAGTGAAATAAAACACAAATTTGTCTTCAAAATATACTAGAATTACACAAATAAAATCATACGTATATAAAATACAACAAAATAAAACATAAAACATAAAATCATACCATATAATATTTAAAAAAAGAAATTGTAAAATAATAACATGAAATGTAATATAACATAATGTAATACAATACACTATAATTTAATGTAACATACAATAACAATGTAATACAATACAATGTAACATACAAAAACATAATGTAATGTACAATAATTTAATGTAACCTAATACAGTGTAATGTAATGCACTATAAAATAATATAATACAATATAGTATAGTATAGTATAGTATAATCTAATCTATCATGGAAGAGCGGGGGGGTGTCTGGATAAGCCTGGATAAGCCATGGATAAGCAAGGATGATCATCAGAAAAAAAAAGTGACTTTCTGGAAATCCATTGCAAGTTTAGGAGGTCCAAGAATGATTTGACCTGGATTTTGAGGTGGGGGTTGGGGGACTAGAGACTTATGAAGGCTTCATAAGGGCTTAGGCTGGATAAACCAGAATCACCAAGCTATTTGCAACCTCCCAAAAAATGACCCCTCAGGACCCGATCCCCAAAATTGCCAAAGTTGAGGAACAATGGTGAACCCACATCGCAACCACTGCAAAAATCCCAATGCCCTTTGTGACTTGTGGCTTAACCCACCCATCTCTTTGGACAAGCACTGGATAAGGAAGTTCAACAAAGAGGTATACTCCAAAATAGGACAATTCTACTAGTAAACCTATGAGCTTCTAGAACAGTCGATTTTGGGGTATTCAATTTTCAGAAGAAACTAGCCAGTCGATCAATCAATGGCCAAAAGCAAGGGCCATTTGCCAAGTCTTGACCGCCTTCACCATACAACTTGTGAAATGATCCGTCCACCGTTTTTACTCCGGCTACAATTGGATACACATGATTACACATGGACTTTGCATACTCTGAACAAGTCACTGGACAAAGGGGTCCTTTTCCACGTTCAACCCTCCAGTCTAAGGGTGGTCACCAATGTTGCTTTGGCTTAGTTCACCAGTTTCCCTCCTGTTTGAGGGTTTGAAGGTCACTGAAAAAGATTAGCAATGATGAGTCATCATCCCCCTTTAGGGTGGGACACTTGTTCAACATGTTTGAAACCACCCACCAAATGAACACGTTCAATATTCTGTGGTTATACCCTTGTAATCCCCATTCCGGATTCAAACTGAACACACCCATCTATGGGTCCCAAATATGTGCTTTTCCCTACCTCCACCATGGGGGTTTTGAAAATATGAATGGGGGATGGGGGGAAAATCGCATCCCCATATGCAGGCCTCAAGCATCACCATGAGTGAGCACCATGGTAGCCACCTCGGTGATTGGAAATGGCAGTTCGAACTGCATCGATGTGAGTTGATTTCACCATCTCCAAGGTTTTCACCTTATGAAAACATCAAAAGTGCAGCTTTCTCAAGGCCCTGACCATGGGGATTCAAGCGATTCGCTTGGCAGCGCCATTGCAAGCCGGGAAAAAGGTTGCACGCTGCTTCAGACGACTTCGGCTTCTGGGAATCTGCAGTTGAAGTTTAGTCAAGCTCATGGAATTCGCAAACTGAACACTTCTAAGGAATTTTGGGGAAAAGATGATGGAAATGGAAATTAAATAAACCTAACAGCAGCAAATCCTTAAGGCGAGCTATATAACTACCTTCGTCGAGCCACTGGCAACAGCTGGCTCGACTCCGCCGGAATCTGGAATGAAGAACCCAGGTATTCCATCAAACAATCCAAAATAAGAACGTTCATATTTAGCATTCTTTTAAGTTGCAAGTGAACATCAGAAAAAATGGAGAAAAAATCACCGAGCTATGGAGAATCCCAAATTTAGTTCGATAAGTTTCTTCGGGGATCCGCCTCCGGCACCGGCGGTTCCAGCTCCGTGGGTTCGTAGGTGAACTCTGGGGGAGGTGGTCGCGGTTTGGTTCTAGAACCTCGGTCTCTGGGTGCTCATTTCTATTAAAAATATGTTATAAAAACAATTCAGGTGAATCTTATATAATATTTCTATATCATCTATATCGTTATATATTGTTGTTAGTATTCTATGGGAATTTGGATGAGCCGAAAAAAATCTAATCATATGTTGAGAGTCTAAAGTAATCGTATACCAATTTAGGCACATTGTTATTGGACATATGTGAATTTATAGGGACCAACATTGGGAATGTGGGAATGATGGCAAACCAATGCCATAACCCTACCGTGAATGGTGATAGTAAACATACCACATAAAAATTGTGTTTTGGGGGATTGTTTAGTGTTTGGCTTACGACATCATGGACACAATATGAGAACTGAGAACAGTATGGGAATGGGGGTCCCTATAAATTCCACCCATTGATGGCATTTGGCTTTCTTTAAGCTCTTGATAAATCAGTTTTGTATCATTTGGGGTTGAATTATACCAGTTTTCACTAGCGATGTTCTTTGAAAACTGGGATTGGATCAGACTTTGCTGGGTCCTATTGGCAATTCTGCGGCTTATTGCATTCCCCCAAGCTGGTTGATTTTATATCTCACCTTTTGATTGAGCCACCAAGGCCTTATAGTAGTTGGATACATCTCATTTTCTGGGGAAATCTATCTTCAAAGTTGCCCATGCCCCTTGCCATAGCCCCTCGGAACTGGGATAACGGCAATAGAATCACACCAACAAACAAATATAGAAAACATAAAATCCATAAACACGATATCAACCATAAATCCCATACATACTACACCTATACGCATTCCATATATAATTCCTATACCTATACGATTTGATCTCGCATAATTCCTACTTTACATCCACCATAGGCGTCCCATATCAAGCCAGCAGGCCGCCTAAGCCCCATATAAAACCCACACAAATCCCGTACCGATCCCACACGATGCCCACATAAGATACCCGATATGTATCCGATATCCTATATTTCCCATCTGGATCTCAAATCTCAATCTCATCTCAAAAGCAGAAAAATCCACATATCACTCTCCACAGGGAAATAAGGTTGAACATCAGTTTCCTCATTACAACGGCCACAAATTGGAGGTATTTTGGTATACCACATTCCTAAGCAAACCCACCTGAACATCATCCCAGGTAAGCTGGGTAATGGGCTCCACCAACATTTCACTGGGGTCACCTCACATACCAACATAATAGCCTAAAACAACCACCATGCATCATAAATCAACTAGCTTCCATATTTTGTCACCCCAGTCAGGAAAATATCAACATATGTATTATCAACATGGTTGATCATCTAGAATAAATATCAATGGGATTATCTACAATACGGTTTTTCACCTTTAGCAATTACGCAATATCTAAAGCACCATCAATATCAATGCGAATATTTTTTCATCGATATGTATCTGTATACATGTTGAAACATTACATCAGGCAAATATATATATATAATCATAATCACATAATATAATATTGTATATACATAGAATATCAAGTGTGGACATGACATATCATACATGGCTATGAATCAAAACTTTGGCACCGAATGGTACACCAGAATAGCTGGTAAATGGATTGTCAATCCCCCAAATAGGGTAATTTCATAGGTTTTGACCGGCATCAGTTATATGTATGTATGTATATATATATATATATCTATACACATATTAGAGATATATTATATAACCTCCAGTTGATATTTCCGGCTGATGCTTCCATGTATATATAATTATATATATATATATTTATTATACATATATAAATTACATCAGTTGCATGATGTGATATATCACATAAACATTCAAAAACATATGCATACAACCATATACACACACACATATATATATAGATACAAATATAGATTTATTAAAAAAAAAAAAAAAAAAAAAAAAAAAAAAAAAAAAAAAAAAAAAAAAAAAAAAAAAAAAAAAAAAAAAGTATATAGAACATTATAGAACTAGATCAATATGTAGAAATGATATGAATTGATTTTTTCGACAGATCGTATATCAACATCTTTCAAAACCTTCAGCCTGGGCTCCCCCAACGCTCCGAGGCCGTCGCCGTCTCCGTGGGCTGCGACAGGGTCCGACTGCGCAGCGTCTCGGTGCGCAGCGACGAGGTGGCCACGCTACTGGGCACCTGCGCTGGGAAAAAGTGGGGACAACTGCAGGAAAATGTAGGAAACATATGGAAACATTGTGGTATAAAAAATTAATAAAAATTAAATATACATCTGTAGATGTATAAGCAGCAAACGGAAAGAATAAGCTTGGACTTCAAAACACAGGGGATTAAACTTGCATACTTAGAACCTTGCGGCTTTAAAAGTTGACCGGATTTGAATGAGAGAGAAATGGGGAAATCTAGGATGTACACAGCCAAAGTATGGAAATACCTCCGATGTTTAGCCAACAAAAATTGGGATGTTCCTAGCGTGACCATGGAAACTCCACTTTTCACCATTTTTCCCAACTATAAATCTCTAGGATTTCCCGTATTTCTCCATATTTTGCCATGGTTTTTTCCCATGATTCTCGGGAATTTCCATCCACACCTGCGTTTGCGTCGGCTGCCGCTCCGTCACGCTGGGCGCAGGGCCGGAGAAACCGTAGGAGTCCGAAGAGACCACAGTGGGGGTCTGGGCACCCGTCAAGGCTGGCGTTTTGCCTCAGAAGAAATTGTGATTTTGTGATGGCAAATCAGCAATTTCGGAATCAATGATTTTTGATCGACGTGGGGCCGGTTTTATCTAGCTTGTCAGTTCAGATCTTCTGAATTGATTTAATTTATGCGTCTTTGCGCAAAAACATATATCATTGGAAAGATCAAATCCGAATGGCTCCGTATACGGCTATGGATCACTTGAGCTTGAGACCTCCAAGAATCGTTGGAGTCGCATCGCCGGTCATCGGAGTGCTATCTTGATATGAAACACTTTGATTGTTGGCCTGGGCCGTTGGGACCATTATCCCACATGGTTTAGGGAGAAACATAGAGTAACGATGTTGCAAAACAACAAAAGTTGGCGAATGGGGTACCAAGCCACACAGAAAGGTACACAAAAAGGCGGTACATGTTTTCATTGAGTATTTGGCGCGATCACGAGCCAACCCAGAGCTAAGAAACAGCAGATCTGCCAAGAAATCAAAGAAATCCTGCAACATCTGACGCAAAACTTCTCAGCCGGCCTGGCTGGAAACAAAACCAGCAGACCTTAGCTGGCTCCCAGCGGTTTGTTCACCCGCGTTTTTTTTGTCATTGTTTTTCCCTTTGGAATGCTTGCAGTTTTCTGGGGCTGTTACCCTCCAGTAATCAAATTGGCTTGCTGGAAAATCCATCATTTTGTTCGATGATTTCCCCAGCGAACTAAACACCTGAGGTCGCCAACGTCTCGGGAGGCACTGGAGGTGCTGGTGAACCTTAGGTTCTGTCCAAACGTCGGGCCAATTGCCGGGAAAATGATGATCTGCCAGTGGGTTTGGTAGTTTTCCATTGCAATCAACCAGCATTCTGGTGATTTTCTTTGAGCTATACCCCTGGTTCATCCTGGTTCCAAGTGGTTTTGCAAATGATCATTTTTCAGGAAAAAAACCTAAACTTTAAACTTAGTTTGCCGCCATGGTTACCCTAATAAAAAAGAATTGCATGCTGCAGCCCACAGCATGCCAAGCCAATTTTGGGTTTTCGGCCCGCGTCCGGAGTCTGCAGGGCTTGAAAATTGGCATTCACCTGAATAGGTCTGCATGCCAACCGTCAGACAGGCAGTATCCAGCTACAAAGTGACAACATTCAACAAATATATGGATGTCTGAAAATGGGGATTGATTGACCCATCAAATCGTGAATTGGGAACATATGCGAAAATTATGATGAACCTGAGCATTTCAGGATATTTTAGGCTATCATATTTCTAGACAAACCCATATAATATATCCTGGTACCACCAACCTGTGGGAAACATCGCCTCCATGAAGATTGGCAAACTGATTCTGTAGCTCCTTGGGTCCCCTGTTCCTCAATGTCACTCCAAAACACGTCATAATAGTAATTATCGGTGATGTAGATCCCATCGTGTATACATAATCTGGTTGGTCCACTGAACCCTGCCGAATAACACATCGCAAGTTCACCGTCTCCGCCGCGTCTCCGCCTGATTTACCCAGGCTTGATGTCCAATGAACTGCGCCAGCTGCATTTGTGAAGAGGCAGCCACCGACCTGGCGTGACCGAAACCATGGGACGGGTTTGGGATCATCGGAGTGACTCCGTTTCTTGGAAAAATTCAAAATACCCTCCGGAAACGAGTGGAAAACCATCCGAAAAGAGAGGGTTGTGGAAATTTCATGTGGAGTAGATAAGCTGAAGGATCCAAGTTTGGTTCGGGGTTTCCGCACAAAAGAGCGGCTCCTCCAAGCTACAAGACATAACTTCCCTTTTTTGATGGCGATGACCTGTGGACCTCATCAAATTGGGGTGGCTTCTCAATGTGACTTGCAACCTCAAGAATGCAGCAAAACAAAAAGTAGGTCAGGCCGGCGTGCCAGAATGTCGTGCTGAAAACCAGCTTTCTTACTCCGAACATGTGGCCTTTTTAATCCAGTTGTTTGTGCTCTGGATCACTCATTACGACATGGTTTACAATATAGCTTCGTGACCTGAAAACGGGCTATACCGGAATCTCTCCCAAAGAAGGGGGACATCAATGTGAACAATGATCATAAACCATTCGATTTGCCGGGTTTCTCCATTTTTTCAACTGAAATTTCAGACCGCCTAAGCACTCCCGACAAGAATCCATGTCAGGTGTTCTCTTGTCGTGATGCCATCCATTGCTTCACCGTGGCAAGGAAAGCGTCTGGCATTTGGACCTGACGGACAGGCTCGGGTCGTTTCGAATCAAGTATAACAAGGTTTATTCAACACACAGGATGAAACTATCTCAAAACTCAAGACAACAGTGATGATTTTGACCAAAATTCCTTCCTTCAGGCTTTTTAAGGTCTCAAATGAAGCCCACAAAACAAAACCAGAAATGGCACTGAAGGGGACAAATGACTGACCAACATGAATTTCCTATCGATGTATTGAAACCGTGCACTGCGACTGGAATCCCGATCAATACATCTCAATGCTATATTCCTGCATATGCCAAAAAATGCTCTCACACACACCAACCAACTATACACCAGTGCAGCCACTCTGACTGCAATCCCAAAATTCTTCAGTCTCCGACCCTTTCATTGACCGCTTGGCTAAGACTGTGAGCCACAACGCCGATGTCACTGGTCCTCAGCATCGCTCTTTCAACATTTTGTAGGGTCATTTTGATGCCGAAATGAGGTTTATTGATGGCTTTGACAGCCAACGATTTTGTGGCAAACATTGGCAAACCCAGGCCTCCCATTTTTACTTGGCGATGATATGCACGTGCATCATGCTTCACGCATTTTTCCATCCATTGGGCTTTGACCGTTTCACCTATCTCAAAAATTCTTGACAATCCAGTTGTAGTTCGGGCTTGGTCATCCAAGACAAGGACTGAAGCGAATTGAACACAATAAGAAACCACCAAGCTTGGCTTGAGCCACCATCAACTGTGAAATCCGTCAGAAATGTCTTAACATGTCCTAACTTGCGGGCCCCCAAAGTAATGTCATTTGCCCGTTTATGAATCCGAAAGGGATTTCCAGCTATGAT